CATCTCAGCGCAATTCCCAGATGTCCTTCCAGGACCCCGGCTTCTTAAACACCAGCAGGGAGCATAAACTCTCCACTTCTCTGTTTTCCTCTTTCGTGTGGCTCCAGGCTAATGATGTGCAAGGAAAACACAGCCATCTATAAAGCCCCAGTGCTGTCCCCGTATTCTTCATTTATTTTGCATTTGATTATGCCACAAGTCGGATCTTGTTTCTTTCCTTTTTTTAAAGTTATTAGTTCAAATATTAATGTAGGGATATGGCATATATTGCTGCTCTTGATTGATGCCTTCCCAAAAACAGGAAGACGTGCTCGTATGAATTTTAAGAAAGTAGGGGTCCTGCAATGCCTTGCCAGAAGAGTTTTTCAGATACATAATTTAGATGCCCTCCAGGCAGGCTTTCAAGGCATTTTTGCCGGAGGGCAAGAAAAAATAACTATGACTGTTAAAAGTAAATGATTTTTGCTAATGCACAATTAATGCCAGAGAAAAGCACAGAAGAGAAAGATGTTGATAGAAACTTCTGATTAAGTGAGCACCCTACCTTGATGTGTATCTTTTTTTTTTTCCCCCATGATAATGATCAGTGGTGCAGAGAGCTAAAAGTTTTCATGTCATGCAAATACCGAGTGCAGGGTCACATGAGGAGTGTGCGAATGTGCGTGCTTAGGAGGTGACAGCTCTAGGAGGGGCTGAGCAGGCAGTGCGTTATGTGCAATGAACAGTGACACAGTTACTGTCACCTATGCAGGCAGCCTAGAATATATAGACTACAGAACATTTAACTTGATTACCCTACAGTATGTGTTCACTATGGGCATGGGGATGCATTTCCACTGAATGGGTTTTCTGATGGCGGTTTTCCCACATTGGATTCCATAATTGACAAAGAGCTACTGCGCTGTGTCAAGTGCACAATTATAATTGAATTAATGATATGGGCAAGTGTGAGACACACAAAATTAACATTTGAAGAGGCCTGGTTTAATTTTGTCTTTTACATATTTGTGTCTCCAATTATACTTTAATGAAAGAGAATATACCCGCTTAATGGATTTCTTTCAACAAGCTTAGCTGAGCTCATCATTAGCTGCACATTGTTGTTGGCACCCTTGCCATGTTTTCTCTAATGTATTTTTATTTCTTTCTACTAGGGGATGGTTTAGACAACAGTGTAGCTTCACCTGGTACAGGTGACGATGATGATCCGGACAAGGACAAAAAACGCCAGAAGAAAAGAGGCATTTTCCCCAAAGTAGCAACAAATATCATGAGAGCTTGGCTCTTCCAGCATCTCACAGTAAGTCAAGATGAAAGAGAAAAAACAAAAAAAGTTTTTGTTGTTTTGCTGAGTTCTCCTAGCAAGTTATATGGTGTCATACAGATTTTTTAAAATAAATGTCAATTTTCTCTTTCTAAAGATCTGATGACTAACAAAGCAGTTAACATTTTATCAACTATTACCATTCAAAAAGCGCCCTCTATAAAGTAGCAGATTTTTGTTTTAAGAGGCCTGTAATGGACTTTATTCAATATGATCTAGGACCCTAAACAGTATATATAAGTAAATTTGTTATTTATGCTAAAAGGTATGAGAGCAACTTCAGATAATGCAACTGCAACCAAGGGAAATGGCTGTAAGGAGCTCATGCATCTGCTCACATTGCTTATCACACTATTAACGAAAGCTGTTTCCTCTAGGAGGTAAAAAAAGCACCCTGCCACATACGCGTCCACGCTCCCAGTATCAGGCGCTCCTTTACTCGCCGGAACAGTTTACAAACGTGTCATGTATTTATATGAGAAATGCAGAAGGATTATAGGTGCTATAATGCCTTTGTTTGTAAGGTGGACATTAAAGATTCTTTCTTAGCTATTCAAGTCCATTATCTTAAAAGCTAACCCTATTTACTTCTGGGAAAGGTTTAACCATTGCAACATTTTTTTTTAAAGTAACAATTTATCTTTATCCTCCTGTTTGCAATTGGTTTTATGTGTCAAATACATACTGTTGACTGTAAGACTCTCATGACAAAAAAAAAATACAATATATTTTTACAGAGGAACTAGTCATGCTTATATTTTACTGTGCATTGGGAAATTCAGGGAAAATGGTAAAAAATTGCAGAAGGTGTTTCTTGCTATAATATTGTTTTCAGGCCATTCTCTTTAGGGTAATACTTAAAAATAGAGTAGCACGTTGAAAGTTGAAGGTCTTCTTTGATTATCCAACTTGTGTGTCGCCATGCCGAATGACATTAGTTACAGTGTCATGGGTCCAGGACAAGGTTCCACTTTTATTTATGGCGGTGGTTGCTGATCTGCTCTGCTCACAGAGCTGCAAAGGGCAGGGGGTGGAGCGGTGGTGGGGAGGGAAAAGTGATAGATTCACATTCCTAAATCGGCCATTTTGATGTAAGGACATTAGTAGCAAACTAAGGTGTATCGATCTGGCCTGTGGTGTCAGGATTAGCTGGGAGAACCAACGAGGCTGCCGTGGTAGTGGTTATTCTTGCCTTGCAGCTATGGCCATTTCAAAGGTCAGGGCCCTGCACTGACTCGGCTCAGAGGAATTAGACAGAACATGCGGTCTCTGGGCTGATTACTTAACCAAAGACAAAATAATGAGTCCTAAGCAAATACTGACTAATTGAAAGGGCTGTAAATCCATTACATATTGGTCAGGGATAATCAGGAGTATTTAATCACTTTTATCTATTCAGGAGCACTGAAGCTGCAACAGCAAAGCCCTGAACCTTGCCATGTGGTCATTATTCTCATCATTATCAAAATTACTTCACAGCTGTTCTTTGCTACATCACCTCAGCTGGAGATTTACTAACCTGTAAAATGTTTTTAATTTGGAAGTCGAGTGAGTGTGAGGGGAGGGGTTTCTCATTTTTAACTGCAGGTTTGTTTGGTTAGAGTAGCAACTAAGAGAGGCAGGGTAGCTAGCAGCGGATGGCAGGCAAGCTGCTTTCTCCTGACCAGCTCACCTGTCCCGTCTCCTCCCTCTGTCTTCCTTCGTGCTCCGCCTTTCCTGGTAGAAAATAAAGACTTCGACAGTTACTTTCCAAGCAGACAATCTACATGGGTTTTCAGCCTCCCTGTCATCAAAACCAGTGTTACAGAACAATAGAACCGCTAGAGAATTTGGCTGCTCTGTTTACAGATGAGGAAACTGAGACTAAGGAAAGGAAGCGGCCAGCTGGGAAGAAGCTGAGAGCAAGTCCCCAACTCTGGGCTTTTCCCCCACTAGGATGACTTTGCCGAAATGATTAGCGCCTTTGAGAGCTGCATGGAAATCTCACGATCTCCCTCGGTCTGCCATCAGTACACTCAGAGTCAAAGAGGGGAGATATGGAGAGGCCAAGTGCTGTTTTCTTTACTTATTTTTAAAGCTCTCTGCTACCCCAGCCTTTCTGCGTAGAGAAGACTGTCCACCCGTGTTCTGGGAGTAGAATCTCACGTGGAAGCGTCAGGAGCGGTTGGTGCCTGTCTCCCACCTCCCTGCCCAGGACTGTGCCCACCACCGCGTGCCCAGCCACTGGCTGAGATTTGTGGGTGCCCAGTGATTCCCGGGCACTTGGTGTAGCTCTCCTGTGCCACAAAACCCACTGTGAGGGCATATCCCCACTCCCAGAGTGCTTTCATCTAGTTAAATGTACGCAAGTCTTTGTGCAGAATTCTCTGTCCAGCTACAAATTTTAATGAATGCCTCTCCTTCGGATGGGGAGAGAGAACTCAAATAGCCTGAGCCGGGGGAGTTGGGAAGTGTGCATTTCAAGTTCAGTGTTCTTCTGTACTGGCTGAACCTCAGTTGAGTCCATTAAGTTCCCTAGACCTTCTTTTCCCCCGTTGTTTTCCATTGAGAGGGACACATTGCAGGATCGATAGGCTCCTCTCCCATGCCCCTTTCATCATTTCCTCCCACCGGCTTTGTCTCCCATCTTTCTCTTCTGCTCCCTGCCTTTTCTACACCTCCCTTGTATCTTACAGAAATTCTCCTCGGCTTTCTCTTTGCAAATGTTTTCCCTCTTCATCCACACTCACCCCCACTGCAGAGAAGAGGTTCAGTAACTTTGATGAGGATCGTCCTGTAAAACTTTTACTTTCCAATCTTTAATGAGCTGAAAGATTTACTCAGCTGTAATTCTGAGCTCAGAAACCAAGAATAGAGACCCCTAACTAGCGACATGTTAATTTAGATCTTCTTTTCTTACATGCACTAACAGGCATGAGGAAGTCCTTGGAAATAGAGATTCCCCAGTATATTTTTCTGTCATTTAATTAATTTCAACTTTCAAAGTGAAATGTTGGCTCTAGCTCACTGAAAATAGATGTAGCCTAAATTATTATTTCATGTAAATTTCTTTACAAGTGCATGATTCAATGTGCATTCCTCCATTATTAGTCTCTTTAACATTATTTCAAACTGGTTTGTTCCCTTTTGTGCAGTCTGACCTGTTCTTGTATTACAATAATCCCCGATGTACCCTTTTTTCTTTCTTTTTTAAAAAAGAAGCTAATTGAATTATCTCATTATTTTAATTTGTTAAGCAAATGTATTTTGCATCTCAGGATGTGTTCTTAAAGAAGGGGGCTGCTAAGGCTTTGCCCCCTGAATGGGCCATTGGCCCATTTTGACATTCATGCATTCATTAACTAGCAGAACATAAAAGAACTCTGGTTGTATTTTTTTTTTCCAAACACCCAACCAGCATGGAGCAACTTTTCCCAATAAGCCACAGGGGTCTCTCTACATATGTTCTCAACTGCAAGCTATTGTCACCTATTCTGAATACCTCAAAAGGCCCAGAGGGGAAAAAAACCCACCTCAACAAAGGCCAACTGTAGCAATTGTTAAGTCTTAGTCTCAATATGACAAAAATCAGTCACCTTCAGTTTTCTTGGAAGAACAAGTTCCACTACAACTGTTACAGTTAAAACAATCTCTCAAATTCCTATGCACCACCAACTTTAGGGGCAAAGGTAACAAACTTGCAGCTAATGGATTATATTAAGGAAAATATTTAAATCCAAAGTGGCATTAAAAAAAAACACAAGTTATTTGATGAATTGAAGAGTTTCCATATTCAGAGTTAAGCACTTTAAATTTGGTTGATCTGAGGCTAAATAATTACTTTCTAGTTTCTAACTACAGATTTTCAAAATTTTCTTTAGAAAAATCCCCTCTAAAAAACTCACAATAATTTTAAGAAAATCGATCCTTTTTTTTTTTTTAGAGACTTGACTAGCGAAAGCATCATATATACCACTACCCTCTTCCATTGGCTTATGGCTGTGCCTGGCTTCTCAGCCTAAGAAATCTAGTGAAGATTGAAGAAAGGCTCTGTTAGAAATGTATATGCTTTTGCTGGAAAGTACCCAGTGGCAAAAATAAAAAACTTAGGGAAATCCTAGGGAAGTATATGCCTTTTGCTAACACATGGAGATTATGATATCATAAAAGTAAGCCTGCCATTACAACTGTTTTTATTTGACTTCAAAGATAGTTAAAGAAAGAAACAGCAAGAAATAATACCCAGGCTGACGGTTTATTCATAACCATGAAAAACTCCTTCACGCCAAGAAGCCCTTAGTGTGCTTGATTAGGCTCTCAGGCACCTCCACTTGCCACCTTCAAGAGCTCCCCTGGTTGTGCTGCAAAGAATATATTTGATCATGGAATAAAAACAGGAAGGGCTCACACACAAAGGCACCACTTGGTCATACCAGTTTCTGACTAAAGGTCTTCTTATTTGAAAACATAGGGATAAAGCTCACACTTAGGAGATGTGGGACTTCTTTAAAAAATATGTGTGAAGAATCAGACGCAAATTTTATTTAAAAGTGATATGATGTCACATAGCCTTCTTGAAACTGCAGTTCTGAAATCCCTCCCTTTTGTTCCTGGCAAAAGGCTTTGTCCCCTCTCTATGGATACTCTGGGGAGGGATGAAGCCTGCCTCTCAGGTGTATACTCATTTCCCTCCTTGCATATTAGAATCTGTTTTATAGGAATTTTTGTAAAGGTCTGGGTTTGGTAATAAACATGGGTTTTAAAGTGTGTCGTTCTACAGAGACATTGCACCCAAGTTATGAATAGATACAGTTCCATGTTACATTAGAAAAACATGGATCTCTTCTCCAGGGAGTTCATCAAGACCACATGACAGTAAACGTAGTCATCTTAAATTTGTTATTGTGATGTGTATGTGTACATGCACACACCTACACACATGGGAGGGAGGGAGGGAGGGAGACAGAGAGAGACTTAGACTATCTTACCTTTTAACTAGTTTTCTTCCTCTTGTGAAGATGCAGATGGCTCCTTTTCTTAAATGAGGCAGTGCGGCGTAGAGGTTAAGAGCATAGAGCCTGGAATCTGCAGCACAGTAGGTTTTTGATCTTGAGCCATTACCCTCTCTAAGCCTCATTTTCCATATCTGTTGAATGAGGATAATTCTAGACCCACCTTAGTACGGTTATTGTAAAGATTAAATGAAATATTGCAAACCGCTCAGCCCCACGCCTAGCTCTTACAGTAAGTAGCTAATATAAAGCCACTATAATACTTATTTTAATTTAGTTAAATGGCTAGCACGAGGCTTTGACCAACAGACCCAGGTATCTAAAGTTATGACATTCATTCTTGCGACTGTGTGAGGTGGGAAGACCAGATTTTGCCAAATAAATCCAAATACCTCTCATAGGAGAGAACATGGCCCAAACCCCACCTTCTACAGCCACTGAATGCTAGGGGACAGCATCCAAGAGTGCTGGTGCCAATGAAAGCCAGAGCATCCTGGTGAGCCTGCCGGGATGGGTGGGAGGTGGAGAAGAAACTGGTTAGGGAATAGCTTAGAATGCTTCAGCTGGGCCTAATTTTGGAAGAGAATGCTCCCTTTTCACCATATGAGTTCCACTATGTGAACAGAATCTGGAGTTGCCCGCTTCCCTAGAGTGTGAAGGTCTAGGCTATCTGTGAGACAGCGTGGCATGATTACAAAAAAAAAAAAAAAAAAGGAGTCACCAAATGTGAAATTCGAAGACTTGGGTTTGAACTCTGTGATCTTGGGTTAGTTATTCAACCTCTCTGAACCTAGTTCTTAACCTTCAAAATGAAAATAGTAAATATAGCACCCTACTTAGGTTGAGTTGCTGTGTGGTTCAGATAATGCAGTCGATGTGTAAACTGTCATGTGCTGCACAAATGTCAAGTATTTTGGTCTTTTCCTTGTGTGCTTGGGATTCCAACTGCTTGAGGCCTCCAGTGTGTTGGGGAATGCCCGAGGGTTAGAGATATAGTGCTGCCCACCTTGCTCATCTCTCCCCCTATTTCTCCACTTGTCCACTTCCACAAGTGTATCCATGGAGACACTGTGGTAATTTCTATTATTAGACATCTTTTTAAAGACCTTGAATGGTTAATCGAATCAGTATTTCGTGGACATTAGTTACTTCTATTTGGAAATTAGTGCCTTCGTGATTCCGAGACTGGTCTACTTAATACTAATAGCTATGGGCCAAATTAATACCAAATATGAAATGTTGGCCTTACTTATGCAGTGAGAGATGGCCTTTCTCATATTCAGAGATGCGAATGTGCACTGAATGCAAGTGGGGCTCATGGGCTAAGAAATACTTCTGTGGAGATGCACATGCCGAGCACACAGCTGAGACACACCAGCAGGGAGAGCTTCCCGCAAACATGCGGCAGAGTGGGGCCGCCCCTGGCCTTAGCCTTTGCATTGTTTTCCTGCTTGCCAGGAGAAAACATCTGTGAATTATTTGAATGGAACCTTATACTGGAGAGCGTCTGAGCTGGTGTCATCTCTGTTTAATTTCAGGAAATGATGTCACAATGCATTAAATAACAATGCTGGGTGATTTGTTTTCCTGTGGACATGCTGTCCTAAGCATTCCTCTTCTCTTGCAGTGTTTCCAATTAGCTGTATGCTTGAGTGTTCTTCCTATTTCCTAATGATTTTGAGGGGTGGGGGTGGGAGATTTGGATAGAAAGAGGGGTAATTTCAGAGGTTGCCAGGGTTCAGGGCTAATGGCACATCCATCATGTCTTTATTGAGACAGGAGGGTTCTGAGCATTGGGACTATGATCACCAGTGGCAACCTACAACAGTCTTGGTTGGTTTTAAAGAATATCTAAAAAAGAAAGCCTGAAGGTTCTGATGGTAGCTGCCCAAAGAGCCGCTAGATAATTTTAATAGTGACCTGCCTACTGTAGCTTCTGCCTTTATCAAAGTTTCCGTGCACTCCCTTCTTCAGTAAAGAATAGAGGACATAAGTCAATTCTGTGTGCCATCTGTCGTCGTTTTTACAATTTCTCAAATTAAAGAGACAGGCCAAAAATTTAATGTTGTGTTGAATCCTAGAAACTCCTCTAGAAGACAGAAAATTGCAACTGAATTTACTTTGCCTCTCTTGAGGAGAAAAAGATTGCATACTGCTGTGTCATAACCTTTTGCTTGTAGTCCCAATTTGGTGTTTAAAATTGGATTAGGAGGGCTTCTGCATGGGAAAGACCGATGTGTTTGGGATTCAGCAGCCTTTGTTCACGTGGTTCTGAATGACATTGAGGTGAAGTCGCCAGTGCAGTGGTGGTGCGATGGCTTTTCGTGGGGGTGATGACATGTGTGGTCTCCTCTATGCAAAAACATGTCACAGTACATCAGATAGTCCCATTTAAAAGAAGCTCACCTGAGATAGACTATGAAAATTACCTCCCAGATTATAAACTGCTAAGTGACAGACACATTTTAAAAATAAGTAAATGATAGGCAGAGCACAGAGGGATTTTAGGACAGGGAAACGACTCAACGTGATACTGTAATGGTGGATACATGTCATTATACATTTGTCCAAACCCATAGCATGTGCAACACCGAGTGAACCCAAATGTAAGCTGTGGACTCTGGATGATAATGATGCATCAACGTAACAAATTTGACTGTAACAAACGTACCACTCTGGTAGGGGACGTTGATAACCGGGGAAGCTATGTATGTGTGGGGGCAGGAAGCATATGTGAAATCTCTGTACCTTCCTCTCAGTTTTGGTGTGAGCTTAAACTAATCTAAAAAATAAAATCTACTTAAAAAAAACCACACAGATAATTGAGTGAGAAGATTGAAGAATGAAATGCTTATTAAATTACCATCAAAAAGAAACTAAAATAGTTATTAGCTCAAAGTTTAGCATCCCATTTCATAAAATATCACTCCGAGTACAATTGTTTAAAAATACGTTAAAGAATTCAAGGAGATGGGGAATTGAGGACCCTTGAATAAAGGAAAATAGAAGGCATGTGCATATTGAATATTCAGCTATTTAAAAACTCTAAGAATAGAGTGCCATTAAATGCTGTTTAGTGAAATCCCTGAATATTCATTCAGATCATAGGGAAAATTTCCATTTCTTCATTCTACATGACCACGGTTTGCAAGCGTATTCTGAGGCGAAGTGGAGTTACTGAGAATTAAAGGCTAAGTTGACTGGGTTATGAGAACACTGTCCCTCAGATTGGCCACAGCATAGGGTCATAAAGTGACCTTACCGTTCAGAACTAATTTTGATTTTAGAGAGGATTACTGCACAGATTTCAGAGGACTCCTGGAAATGTCCTCTCTTCTCCGTGCTATAGTCTGTTTTTGCAATTTGGAACAGATTATGAAGTGTAAAGATGATATCCAGCCCCATTTCTCCTGTTAAGAAATAGTGACTTGGGCAGGAAGCATTAGGTTGGTTGAATGGAATTTGCCTTGTTACATTTATGTGCTGCGTGCCACTTTCTAAATTGATTGGCAGCAGTTGTTTACCGTATGCAAAGTAATCACTGGCACCCTTTAAAGGTGTATTATCTTCTTAAAACATAATAGTAATGCCATTTTCATGCTTTTACATTTGCTATTCATATTCTGAACTGCCAAGTCCCAAATCTGCCAGAACTAATTTAAGTTGTTTTTATCTAATAGTGGATACGTTGTCAAGTCACAATATAATGGCAGATAATTTCTCTTAAACTATAGTTTTACTTCTTGGTTATAATAGATAACATGAATATTTGTTGAATCTGACTTGATTGTCCACACACACAAAAATTACAACTCAAAAGATATCGTGGGATTCTGAAATGACAAAAAAATGAAGAGAATATTATCTAGTTATTCTGAGCATTATAGAAAATTAACAAGGGCCACTAATCAGCCCTCTTCCTACTCTCCCCCCCGCCAAATTTACTCGTATCTTGTTTGCCTAACATAGCCAGATAATGAAGATCAACCCTTGTTAATCCCTGAACCAAATCTTATTGCTACTCTTAATGTAAATACCTCGGTTATCACATTACAATGTAACTGTTTAGTTTTTTGTTGTGCTTTGTTTCGTTTTTCTTTTTTTTTTTTTTTTTTTTTTTTTTTTTTTTTTTTTTTTTTTTTTGCTTTTTGCATCATTCACCTACAATTACAAATATTCCAGAATTAATTTTGGCTAGGAAATATCTGGCAATTCCATGACTAATAATTTAGAAAAAAGATACTCCCATGACTCAGGTCATACTGCAATTGAAAAATGGCTTTTTTCTTACCCAGAATACATGGTGTGACCCCATCATATGCTGACAATAAACAACCCAAGTGTACTGGGGTGGTGCTACACTAGTCTTTTAAAAAGAAAAAGGCTTTTATCAATAGAAGATGTGAATGCTGGATTATTCCCCGTAGGTTTGGAGACATGTTGGAAGTCTCTATAAAAGCAGTCTTATTTTTTTCCCCATGGTGAGAAGTTATAGGTTCCATTTCAGTGTTTCAAGATACCTGCAGGCAGCTCATGAGTTGTTACACTTGTTTTAAACCCTGCCTCACAGTGGATTTTTTTTTAAGAGGTAAGAGAGCATGAGAATAGGGAATCATTATTAGTCAATTAGTCAACAATTAGTCTCAGTTTTGGGTTAATTTCTGGGTAACCAGAAGTCTAGACCTATGTGGCAAAATCTCACTGATTACTGGGTGTCACTTTGATAAAGACCTCTCTTATAGCTTAATCCTGAAGCTTTTTATGTTTTCTGGTGAATCGCTTAAGTGATAATCAAATATGACCATGTGGAAAGGCATCAGTTTTTAACATGACCTTTGTTACAAGTCTGGCAATCCTTTAAAAATAGTTTGAATTTTTTTTTTGTTTTTACAGAGTAAGTTTGAAGAAAGAAGTGATTTAATGCCATTTGATACTTACCTATTTGTATTCTTTTATCAATGGCTATCTCAAATACTCTCATGCTTATTTGAAATGTATATATTAATATAATGAGTTACATAAACAGGAGTGAGCTTCAATGCTCATGAATCTATTGCTAGATGCTTTTGGAACAGACAATGGAAATGTTTATAATTCATTTAAAAAATCAGTGATTTTCCTTCGTTTAGATGGTGAGGACAATCTGTTAACCCTTTGTGTTTATAAAAACAAACAAACATTTCAGGACACAGTGAAAGAAATCCCTGCTGTTTATGAGGTTATATATTCCAGCGTTTGCAGAGATAGGACCAAATTGAAGACCTGACCAGGGTCCTAGTCTTAGCATAGCCTTTTGCTGGCTGGGTTATCTTGGGCAAGTCATTTAATTTATCTGAGTGCCCATTTTCTCACCTCATTGTTTTGAGGGTTAGCTAAAATTAGAAATAGCTCCCCAAAAAGGGCAAAATACCATGCATGTATAAAATGATATCCATTAATGTTTTCATACAATTCATTGAAACAAGTAATTTACTCTGTCTTAGCTCCATGAAACCTGAACATTCTTCAAAGACAAGTGTTGTACTTGTTTCTTTTGCCCTAAATCTGGAATGGGAGTCAAATCCTACAGATAGCACAACATGTGCAAGAAGAAGGGCAAAAGACCTTAGGGACTGTTCATACTGTGGCAGTTTCAATGGCATCATGAGTCAAAGTAATTTTTGGAAATTCATACACTCAAACTTAAGAGAAAGAACTGGGTGACTGCAAACTAACCTCACAATAAAGTCACTCTCACTTGTGTCACTACAACTTTGGAACAAACTTGTCGGAGATTTGGACATCTTTATTCTTTGTCCATAAGCTCTTCCTCCTGAGAACTAACTGGTCTGCCAGCCTGCCACTTGTTATCCTGGCCAAGCTGGTGGGGGAGAACCGTTTTACATCTCTAAAATGGTGATCTCACAGGTCCATTCTAAGGAAGGTGGAATCCTGTATTTGCTAGACACAGAATTATCTCATTGCAACAAGAGGTCAATGGGCGTTTTTATTTTTCCCCTGAAGACAGTTTCAACTTGGATGCTTGCTTGAGCTTTCTTTGATTCTATATACAGAGACGTGCAGATGTTATAACAGATCTTCAGACAGAATCCACTTTGGCTGAAGCACAGAATATGAATGGGAGAATAGTGAGGAAATCGTCAAAAGATACATTTTGAGGCTTTAGGTTTAGATCCACTAGCTAGATATTGAGGTAGGAGAACTCTGTGGAAGTTAGAAATGGTGGCACCATAGTTTGAGAGTTGGGGCTAATCTTTATAGAAGTAGTGCTTGAAACCATGGCATTGGATAAAGTTTAGAATGGGAGACAGTGTGGAGAGAGAAGGTGGTTAGAGTCTTTTTGAAGACTACATTTAAAGGGGGGAAGAGACAAAGTAATGAGCAGAGATGAAGACATCAGACCAGTAGGAGCATAAACAGATCATATGAAGAGGGGAGGAGTTTCAAAGTAGAGGAAGTAGATTTTGTAGAAAGATCAAGGACAATCATGACTGAAAATAAGCCTTTGGATCTGGCACTTGAATGTCATGGTCTACTTACGAATTCTGCAGGTTGATGAGTGAGCAGGCAAAGTGGGGAGGAAGCAAAGGAAGAACGGGAGACAGTGCGATGCTTGGGGTGGCAGGGTGTCCCAGCAGAGGGGTGTCAGGCGAACCAGTGCATCAGTGGAGGGGAGGTGTAGGTGTGGGGGTGGAGAGAGCGACAGTGGGTAATGCCCTGTTCCAGAAGAGGAAGCCAGTGAAGACGGAGGCCAAAGCACAAGGGGAAAGGTACGATGGAGACCAGACACATTTTTTAAACATAGGCAGAAAGCTGATAAAATTGGGTAAGGAGTCTGTCTCACTGAATGATTCGGTAGTGTGGAGAGTGTGACAGAGAGTGAAGTAGGAAGGCTCAAAAGTATGGCCTGGGAGCAAAGAGGGCCAGGCTGGAATGGTCTCTGTCCACATCCTTGCTCAGGTAATGCTCAGGAGCCCAGGAGCAAGAGGGATGAAAGCAGACAGCAGGGGAAACCTAAGCCTGGGACTGGCAACACTGGGAGAAGGGAGGGTGTTAGAGAATTCTCAAAGTGGAGGACCAGTCAGTCAAAATTCCAATAAGATAATCTTTGCTGGGGTTATGACAGAAAAGCAGTTTTACAGTGCATCTGATTCATGACTCAACTAAGAAAGATCAAGATATTTTTGGAGAAGGAAAATGAGGGAGGTCTTGCACTGAGCATCAATCACTGAAATGGTGTAAAGCTACAGGGTGTGGCATTAACTAACACAATAAACAGAATGATCATTTGAACAAAATAAGAATTCATAAATCAACCCAAATATATACAGAAATTTAGTAATTCTAAAGGCATCACTTCAAGTCAGTTGAGAAAAAAAGAATAATTCAATTAATGTTTTTTGGATAATGGTTTAACTATTTTTACAAAAAACAATCAATAGTCTCCATCAGAGTTTTTTGAAATAGATATGACTGTTTCTCTTTCCTTTGTTCAATGAAATGCTTTCAGAGCATAAAAGCAAAGAAATTATAAAGGAGAATGGTGGTAGATTAAATTAAATAAAAATAAAAATTAAAGAGCTTTTGAATGCCAAGAAAACACCATAAACAAAGTAAAGGCAAACATTAAACTGGCAAAAATATGTGCAACATTATAAAAAACAGGCAAAGGATTAGTGTTCCTAATAAATTAAGCATTGTACAAATCAATAAGGAAAAAATTGAAATGGATAAAAAGACA